CGACGTAAGTTTTACACTTTTTTATTATTAAACTTACAATTGACACGTGTAAAATTTTTTTATATTTTCCGGATGTACCCGACCTCATACTAGTTGTGGCATATCTATTTGGCATTCTTGACAAAGTTCCATCGTTATGTCATGCACTCCCTGGACAAAAGTATCCGGACACCTGTTTTTACTAATTACACAAAAACGCACATAATAACTATACATAAAATTTTGATAAAATTTGGCTTAGGTTTTGATGAACATGCATATAAAATTTGATGCTTTTAGAACGTCTAGAAACATTTTAGTTAAAAAAATACGAAATTCGACGAAAATCGCGATATCATTTTTTGTTTACTTAATTTACCCAAAATCCTACATAATAATAAAAATAAAAATTTATATCAATTGTAGCTTAGGTTATCTAGAATATGTATGCAAATTTTTGTAGTTGTAGGTAGCATAAATAATTTATAATAAAATTAAAAAATTAGTAATTAAAATCGCATTTTGTAAAAATCAAGATTGATAAAAAATTTTTTTAATCTTAAAAATGCCAAAAAAACGAAGTATTGTCAGAATTTATCCGAGGGAAAATTTTAGGCCTTCATGAAGGTGGCAAGAGTGTAAGAGATATCGCCAAGAAGCTAAAAATCCCAAGAAGCACAGTTCAAGACACCATTTCTCGTTATAAAAACCTAGAAAATGTTAAAAGTGCATCAAGAAGTGGTAGACCAAAAGCTTTAGATGAACTTGAACAAAACGAATTAAAAGTTCTAGTAAAAACAAATAACCGCATGTCAGCAAATATGATCCAGAAAAAATTTGCTGAAGAAAATTATCTTGTGGTTTCGACTAAAACAATTCGTAGGAGCTTGCATAGCCTTGGAATTTTCTCCAGGGTTGCTGCTGTAAAACCACGTGTTACAGAAAAACAGCGAGAAAATCGATTAAAGTGGTATTTAAGCAGGAGAAGATGGAGTGTTGCTCAATGGGGAAAGATAATATGGAGTGATGAATCTCGCTTTACAATTTTTAGAAGTGATGGTCCCCATCATGTTTGGCGTCCAGTCGGTGAACGGTACAATATTGAAAACATTACACCATCGGTCAAACATGGTGGTGGTGGAATAATGGTTTGGGGGTGTTTCTCTGAAAAAGGACTGGGGCCATTATTTAGAGTTGAAGGGATGATGGATAGGCATGATTATATAGAAATTTTAGAAAACAAATTGTTGCCCTATATTAGTGACAAATTTAACAGCAGGGGTTACGCATTTCAAGATGATAACGCGCCTGTGCACACGGCACGTGATGTTCAAAAGTGGATAAAGGAAAAAAAGATTAAAACTTTACCTGATTGGCCTTCACAATCCCCAGATCTTAATCCAATCGAACATCTTTGGAGTGAACTAGGAAGGCGATTAG